TAAAATGATGTCTTAGAAGTGGAAGAAGAGTATTTTGGTCCTTATTTTTAAGAAAAAGAGATGCACAATAATGTGCATATTATAGGGGAATTAAGTTAATGTGCTATACATTAAAATTATGGGAGAGATTAATTGAACTAGGTTAAGATGTGATACAAATATTTCTCATAATCAGTTTGGATTTATGTTGGGCAAGTCTAAAATGAAAGATATACATTTATTGAGAGGTTTGATGGAGAAGTACAGAGAGAGTAAGGAGGATCTACATATGATTTTTATTGATTTTGAAAAAGCTTATGATAAGGTTCTTAGAGAAGTTCTTTGGAGAGTTTCACCTTATTAGAGATATGTTTGCTAGAGTTGTTACTTGTGTTCAAATAGAAAGATGATTAATCAAGTATTTTCTTATTTCATTTGGATTACTTTAGGGATCGTTTTTTTTTTCCTTTTTTTAGAAAAAGATTGGCCGGAGGCTATGATACAAGCCCCCAACTAACCTCATGTGCCTAACCACTTGATCTTGCACTGTAAGACAGATATACTCAGGCGGGCTCGAACCCCTGACCCCAAGGGACTCACGATTGACAACACAGCTGCCAACCAAAGAGTCACGGTGTGCAACATTTAGGGATCGACTTTAAATCCATATTCATTTGCTTTAGTTATGGATGCTCTTATTGGGCTTTTACAGGAGTATGTACTGTGGTATATGCCTTTCGCAGATGATATTTTTTTGTGGAGAAAACTAGTGAAAGAGTTTAGGAAAAACATAAATTATAGATATCTACATTAAAATCTAAAGGCGTTCATTTGAATAGATCTAAAACTGAATACATGCAATATAATTTAGTAGTAAATCTAGTTGCATAGTTTTAACAATGGGTGATCGAATCATTAAAAATAGTGAATGTTTTAGATATCTCAGGTTCGTTGTCTAAAGTGATGATGATAGAGATGAGATGTTATTAGTAGAACTTAAGTTGGATGGTTGAAGTGGACGAATGTATCAGCTCTATTGTGTGCTAGAAAAGTTTTGCATAGACTTGAAAGGAAAATTTTAGAAGTTTGTGATGAGACATACAATGCTCTATGGCGGATAATGCTGGCCTATAAACGAGAAGCATAAAACTAAGTTAAGTTTTACTGAAATGAGAATGCTTGGGTGGATGAGTGGCTTGACACACAGAGATAACACAAAAAAAATTTATCCGTGAAAGGGTTGGTGTGACTCCGGTGGCACACAATATTAGAGTGAGTCGTCTAATATGGTTTGATCACATTAAAACGTCGACCATCTGATGATCCGGTTTGGAGAGTAGATGTTTTAGATTCAACATGATATTTTAGATGTAAAGAAAGATAGAGGTAGACTAAAAAGACTTGGGCATAGTATAAAAAATGATCTTAATTTATTAGAATTAAATGAAGATATGACAGTCAATAGGACACAATGGAAAAAAATAATTCATAAGCGGACTCCAATTAGCGGGATAAAGGCTTCTTGTTGTTGTTGTATTATGTTGATGTGATACCAATTTTTTTTATCAACTTTTTTTTCTTTTGTTTTGGCAAAATGTGAGTTATGATTGTTTCAAATTTTGTTCATGAAACATGATACTTGTTTGTTTGGAAGGTTTGCGCTTGTTTCAGTCTTGTTATTCAATAATCCCATTTTTTGTCTATTTAAATGAACAAGTTTGTTGATATTTGTATATTTTGTATGATTATTACAAAGCTCATTCATAACTTGTTTAATTGTTTCAAGTAATTAGATACTTATTCTAAACTCATTAAATTACTTGTTCTTTTACTCCTGTAAAATTATTTATCAATGTGTCTAACACACAGGTGAATCGTTTAATACTTGTTCATCTGTAAACTTGTTTGTTAGCTTGTGTAAGTACTTGTTCAGTTATTTTATGCAAAATTCAAGTACAACAAGGCCAATATCAATCAATTTTTTTCAAGCCAATCATGAACATGTTAATGTGAAAGCTTGACTTCTACTTGATTCAAGAATGAACAACTTATAGTATGACCAAACAAAATCTAATCTATGATGTTCTTCACTCAATAACTACCCTAGCTACTGTCATCATATTTCATAAGTGGAAAGTTGTGACCGAAATTGCTTCAAACTAAATGTTCAAAATTTGAGTTGCCTCAACCCCAGCTAAGGAGATCCCATACTACATAATGGGGCTTACAAAATTTGATGCTCACAAATTTTCCATGACTCAATATTATGGTAATATACTCCGGTTCTCCTTATGAATGCTTTAACCTATGCTCTTCAAGCTCCCAAAGATTTATAGGGTTGAGCCTCAAGCAACCACATAATGTATAAATAATATAATACACAAACCAAAAGACATATGATATCATTATATTATGTTATTCTATATAACCAATTTTTTATAATAATATTGATAAAACTATCCGTTTAGCCACAATATTGCCTTTCATTCTTTATATATTTCACAAAATTCTATACTTGAGTTGTATCTATTCTCTTCGACTTAGACAAACTTCTTATAGGATGCACAAATGATGGGAGAGGTTCAATCTTTGCAATAGTAATATTTTTTAATGCAAAATGTTTGACATGAAATCATTGCAATTGTTAAATATTATTGTAGTTTTAATAAGAGCATTCAAACTTGTAACTGGAGATGGACAATATTTTTGTACGGGTTTGGGGGATAGCAGAAATAGCATAAGAAATTTGAGCACTAATAAAAGATTTGAATTTTTTTTTTCTAAAGTAGGAATGGCAATTTAAGTTTCTTTAATTGGCTGATGGTCTTCAAATGAAATGTGTTTCTCTATAAGTGATTGCAACTACAATTTCAAAATTTTATGTGAAAATTTTACGTTTGACAATCCTCTTCTTGCATCAAAGTGAACATATTTTTTACTTGATTAAAAGTCGCTTTAGTCATGTGCTCTTTTTATTACATGATGACATAGACGAATGAAAGGAAATCTGTAAAGAGAGAACGCTTTATTGCTCCATGAATACTTGATAATAAAAATGTGCAAAATCTTTCTTGCCAATCTTACCTAATTTAATTTGCAATTGAATGTAACCTTGCAGAAATCTCCTTGTTTGTTTAGGCTGGACTCTGAGACAAGATGATAGAGAAACAGGAAAGCTATATTTATGCGGTGGAATGGGTGGAAAAATAAATAAATGAATAATATTAGTGGCAATAAAATCAACCATTACCAAATGATTGGGGTGGCAATATCACCAAATAATGGCAAAAAACCAAGCCACTAAACTAATTCCAGAAAAGAAGTAACTTTTTAAACATCATTTAGTCATAACATGATCTTACATTGTTCACTTTCAAACATTTAGATAAAATTTCCTTAGATCAAACAAGAAAACAAGTGAGACGCCTCCCACTTCATCAAGAGATGAGGGATGCATTTCCATTTATTTGATGACAAGCAGGAAGGAACCTAATATCTATCAATGCATTTCAGAATTGGAACTTATTACGTTATTGCCACTCCATTCTTCAAGATCATCCTTAAATTTTATAATCTTGTGCTGCATTGGTTGAAATGACCTGTTGTTGAATCTTACCTTTAAAAGTAGTTTGGTCCTTGTTTATGTTGTAATTATATGACTTAACATCGAAGACTATGCAAAAGATCCAATATAATCATGTTTAGGACTTTGAAGTTCAACCGTAAGGCTAATCTTTATAATTCCCAAACTCACAGTGCTTTAACATAAAATATCATGTAATCAAAGGCATCTACTTAAATTTGCATTTGCAACACAATTTATCTGCACTCTTGGTTACCAATGCACCTTTACATGCCCCTAAATCAATGCTTTAGCCACATCATTATACATCTACAATGTCTTTATGCCATAAGCATATGAATTTTATATTATATTCTCTGTACTAGAAAATTATTTTCATGAGAACAAATATGGTAAGAACAAGCAAATTTTAGATTCCGTTTGTTCTACATGTCCATCTTACTATTACTAAAAGAATATCACAGGAGTCCACCTAAAAATTTATGTTGATTTGTCTATCTTTCCTGTCTATCTTTCCCTAAAGCTTAGAAATCATATCATTAGAAAGTAATGAATATTTAACATCCTTTAAGTTGATGATATCACCATATACATTATGATGCCACAAAAATGTTTATGTATGGCTAAATAGCATATAAATTACAAAGTTTGATCCATGATTTTCCTTAATGGATGTTCTTTCTTTGCTTGCTAAGAATACGTTTTTTTCCTGATAAAGTTTTTGGTTAGTTTAGTGTTTTTTTGCATATTGAATCATTATTTTATGATTGTTTCTTCAAAGATCCTTGTAGACCTTATATTGCCGATTATAGTTGGATCATCGATAGAGTTTTTACATCTTTTCTTTCTTTGCTTCATTTATATTGTCAGGCATCTTTGAACGTACCACATGTTATTTTGCAAATCATTTTGTGCTAACCTATCTCTCGTTTTTGGGTTTTTTGGAGCTTAAATTTGTTAAACAATACCGTTCTCTAACACTGATTCTTTGAGCAATCTTTACCTTCTTTTATTGGAGTTGATGACCATCCCAAGCTGTCATGGACAAAATTGTCCCATGTGAAGGGATCCCAAGCAACACTGCAGGCTCACAGTATTTGGTGCAACTTTCATATTTGTCAACAGAAATATTCATATCTAATTTTTAACTTTATTGTTTTTATAGAGGATAAAGCCAGAGGTGATTAGTTTGTGGTTATATTGGCAAAATACTTGGAAAAAATTGATTTCAATGTGTCTCTGTTCAGTGGCTTTTACACGGAATAGTTTCAGTTAAAACTATGTTTTAATAATTTAAAAGTGATTTATTCACTTTTTAATTTGTATGAATTTGTTGTTTTTGGTTGGGAACCCGATCATATTTGAAAGTTAGTTTACTGCATTACTTGCTGTTCTCTGCTTATTTCTTTTGTTACCATTTACCAATTTTATGTTACAGTTAATGGAATACTGTCATCTGCTGGACCTTGCTGATGAAACTGATGACCCTTACATGCGATTGGTCTATGCTTGTAAGTAAATGATGTGGTTTTTTGCAGGTTTTGCCTTCATAAGGAGCTAATGATAGTTTCTTTAATTCCGCAGCTTCATGGGCGGTCTCCGTTTACTTTGCCTATCAACGAACATGGAAACCTTTTAATCCCATCCTTGGAGAAACTTATGAAATGGTCAATCACAGGGGAATCACATTTATTGCAGAGCAGGTTTGTTGATTGGGGCTTATCAGAAAGTTGGAATAAGGCTAATGTTGATGATGGATACTTCAGTACTTTTTGTCTAGTTTTACGTTTGCTTATTCATTTTCACTTAATCAATTATGTTCAATTATAGGTGAGCCATCATCCTCCAATGAGTGCAGGGCATGCAGAGAATGAACATTTTGTTTACGACATTACCTCCAAACTAAAAACCAAATTCTTGGGGAATTCTGTAGAAGTATACCCTGTGGGGAGGTGAGTTATACAGTATGAGTGTCTAATAGCCTTTTTTCTATCACATGACATGCAATTATATTATGTCCAGAAGTTGAAATTTCAGCTTTTCTATCTGGACATGTGAGTTTTATACGGCTGCCATTTTAGGCAATATTTTAATATTTTAAATTGCTTAAAATTTAATGTAGGACAAGGGTGAAACTGAAAAAGGCTGGCGTTGTCTTGGATTTGGTGCCTCCTCCCACAAAAGTTAATAACCTTATATTTGGCCGTACTTGGGTTGACTCTCCTGGGGAGATGGTAATGACAAACTTGACAACTGGGGACAAAGTTGTACTATACTTTCAACCTTGTGGTTGGTTCGGGTATGCCATTGTTTATATCTTCAGTGCTCACATACATGCATCTGTGTCAGTTTGATCTATAGTTTGATATCTCTGCTGAATTATTCTGTTGATTTTGGAGTTTTTTTATATCAACAGTTGGTATCATGTTGGAAAACGTAATGATGATTAAATACATTTTAGTGATGAAGAAGTTGTATCAAAACTAACTTACTGTCCTACGATTTAAATTGGATAAATGTGGAGTTGTTTGCTTTTGTTTCGTTCTTTAGAGGAGTTTTTCAATGCCATGGGTATTTGCATTGCATTTAACAACTTTAACTTTGTCTCTACTAATGTTTACAGCACTGGTAGATATGAAGTGGACGGATATGTCTATGATGCAGTAGAGGAACCCAAAATATTGATTACTGGAAAGTGGAATGATTCAATGAGCTATCAACCATGCGATGGTGATGGTGAACCCCTTCCAGGCACCGAGCTCAAAGAGGTTATTTCAATTATGAAAATCTTCATTTCTAATATTTTTTGATAGAACCTGCTAATCTGATTATCCGCTTGGTTGTATCAATGATCCAAGAATGGAGGATGTGATAGCTTGTCAAAATCACTATTTCTAGTATGTTTTGCTTTGTTTGATGCCATTATTACTTTTATTTTTATATGTGCACAGATAATTTCGTTAGTATTTATCATCTCAATCATAGATTCTGTTTTGATATTTGCCTGCATATTTTTTTTTATCTTGCTTATTGAAGATTATTTTTTTTAATGTTATGAATTTTATTTAACTCTGCTTTTGTAGTTCTCTAATGCCTATATATTAGAAGGAAAAAAAATTGCCTGCTTCTGTTATCTCTGTTACTCGCAATGCTAAAGCACTTTGTGATGCTCGACTTCTTAGGGTTTATGTTTCTTCTAATGCCAACTTAGGATGAGATATGTATAGCATATACATATTTATCAGTCTTATATAACTTTAAAATAATAAAAAATATATAATTTCTTAAAATACCTAGAGCATGTCTCACAGGTTTCAGTCAGTCTTAATTCAAAAATCTTGAACTTCAACCCAGATAATATGGTTTCTATCCAAATAGTTCAGACAACTGCTTTCTGTTTTACAAAAAATTGAATTCTATTGCAACTGCAAAGCCGAATAACGAAAGAAATAATCATCCTATTCCTAGGAATAGTAGGAAATCACAAGCCAACAACTGTGCAAGATACAGTTGTCGGCCGTTTTTTTTTTTTAAAAAAACATTAATGATTGAAAAAGTGATGATTTTGTGATTTTGAAAATAATTTAAATATAAATATAACTTTTTTTTATTTTTAAAAGTAACATTTTAATTTTAAAATATGTGAGACCAAACGGGTTTCACATTTTAAATAATTTAGATAATTGAATACAATACTACATGTAATACACTTATCCTAAAGAAATAAATGTATCACTTGTAATAGAAATTCAATCACCTAGACTAAAGAATTTGTGACATCCGTTTTGGTCTGCGAAATATTTTTATAAAAAGGCCAATAAGTTACCCTATCTAACATAAAAAAATTAGATGGTTTATTTTATCTGGGTTCCTGGTTCACTATAGAGGCAATCCCCTATAGTTAATTACATCTTAAATGATCGAAATCACTTAAGAAAACTCTCGATTAAGATCAGGTGGTTTTGCTTTCAAGATTTCAAAGTTTAAGTTTTCACGATTGGACATGGGGAAAATCAAATGGGAATGGCTTAAAATAGAAACAATTATTTAAGAAATCCAAAGAAAAGAAAAGTAGGGGATATCACAGATCCAGGAGAAACCCCGGAGATGTCCCAACTATCCTATTGTTCGGCTTTATGTCTTTTGAAATGATTTAATTTGATATTTCAATCTTGCAAATTATTTAAGATTTAGGACTTATGTTTGCACAACGTCGGACTGTGCAAATAGCCTAAAAGACAGAAGGATTTACACCGTACTGTACGGTAACCTCGGAATCCTAAACGTTAGGACTTAAAACGTTAGGACTTATAATTGTATAACAGAGTTGTACAAAAAGCCTAAAGAGTGATCGTATGGGTTATTTAAACTAAGGAAAGTGTATAGTGTTGTGAATGTGTTTTGATGTTGCAGATCCATCTTGAAGTGGCTCCTTCGTATTAGATCCACCTGAAAATTGTTCTGAAAATTGTTCCTCGTCGCGTTGTCCACGACGTTCGCTCCAAACTCTTCGTAGTAGCACCTCCTGGTTTAGTTTTAGTTTTGAAAATGCTCCTAACCACTAGGTTATCCTAAACTAAGACATAGTGTATCAAAGTAACTAAGCATGCAGTGTGAAAGAAAAGTAACAATGCACTGTACAGTAAAGAGAAAAGATAATATAACATGCTGAAAGAAGAGCATAACGTGCTATAAAGAGTAGTATAACATGCTGGGCAAGCAGTATAACAGACTATGAAAATAATATAACATGTTTTAGAATAAAATGTTATAATATAAATTAAACATATACACCTGAGAGGTTCATTGCTCCTTTAAATTTAACTATTATGCGCTGTGTAAAAGAAGAAAATATGACTTGAAAAAGACTTAACAGAAACAGGTAAATCATAGGAAAAAGACAAACAAATAAAATAAAATACATCATCACATATAAAGGACCAAGAATAGGAAATTTATATGTGATATTGGAATGTCCCCAATTGCCAGGAGGATTTGAGTGTAAGATAAACTCAAATTCCGGAGCATTGGGTTTCAGTTTTGGTCAAGTTAAGGTAAGAATTTCATTATTTGATTTAATTAAATCAGTCATGAGTCACAATCTAGTGCACCCAACCCCAACTAAGTGCCTCTCAACTAACCCTAAAAAATCTTTAGATTAAGCTTAGCTCACCATCAGACTCCTAAAACCTAGGGGTAAACTCATAGTTTTTGCAAAAGAACTGTGTGAGACGC